CACTTCCGAGAGATTTACGAGCGATGCCCGGCCGACCACTCCCCTATCGTTGACATCGTCTTTCTTGTGTTTACCTGTATCACAATACGTTCCAGTAAAGCACCCAGAGCAGATGCAAGAGTAAGTTGTACATGTACCACTATCCACAGTGCTGCAAACAGCTTCATTCTGACATAGGTGGTTGGAACAAGCATCGATTTCTATGCAAAAGGAAAAGGTGTTAAGAGATCTCTGCAACATAGGCCTACAATAACTAATAAGTAAATTTGTATATTGGACATTGTATTTTATTGCTAAGATTAAAATTATGTTTAAAAACAACGCAGATCTTACGTTCTTGACAATAGGTTCCTGTAAAGCAGCCAGGGCAGGAGCAAGAGTAAGTTGTACATGAGCCACTATCAGGAATACAAACACCTCCATTCTGACAGTGGTGGTTGAAACATACACTGGTTGCTATGTGAACGAAAGACTTAGTGAGAGATAACAACAATAACCCGACAAATGTTACATGCAGGGTCATTTTACAAAACGTTTTTGCTGGACTATAGTACTTGCAGGTAAAGAGACAACACCATACTAGGGGGTCAAAATTGTTGTGTTCTAGACGCCCGAAAATAACATTTTAGGCGTTCTGGGCTATCATTTTTTTCCTTTTCTTTAATATTTTTTCTTTTTTTTTACTCCAAAAAAAAAAGGGGGGGGGGGCTGACAGCGGTGGTTGAAACAACGGTTGATTGCTATACAAAAGATTAAAAAGTAGCATGTAAAATGTATACTTATCTTTTTCACTTTATATCTCTATCATTTATTATCATTATTAATGTATTGGATTTCGGATAAATACTTACTTAGAAACAAAACTAATCAGGAGTGGTGCAGCGGGCACCGGGTTGGCCAGACCCCTCCATGCCGGGAGAGCTATCCCCCGTCGGGGAGAGTTGTCCTCCGTCGGGGAGAAAAAAGAAACAATTCTTTGGGGAGAAAAACAAATAATTTTTACATATTTGTAGTCTCAAGTCGATTAAATAAGCCTTTTAAACCCATATATGTAATAGTTTCCGAGGGTTTTGGCCCCAGGATCACTTCCGAGAGATTTACGAGCGATGCCCGGCCGACCACTCCCCTATCGTTGACATCGTCTTTCTAGTGTTTACCTGTATCACAATACGTTCCAGTAAAGCACCCAGAGCAGATGCAAGAGTAAGTTGTACATGTACCACTGTCCACAGTGCTGCAAACAGCTTCATTCTGACATAGGTGGTTGGAACAAGCATCGATTTCTATGCAAAAGGAAAATGTGTTAAGAGATCTCTGCAACATAGGCCTACAATAACTAATAAGTAAATTTGTATATTGGACATT